TTTGAGGAAGGCTTAGAGGAGTCACTTACATGGTTATCGAAGGAGTCATAAAGAAGCGTGATTGGCCAAGAGGAGGTGGACAGAACCTAGTCACACCAGCTGTGGAGCCCCGACTGGGTTGCTGAAGAATGGGGCTGGGGAGATAAAGAGATGGAAGAAGGAAGGCGTGGAAATGGTTCCAAGTGGCAGCCTGGGAGGTGATCTGTGCAGCATTTCTGATAAGTACAGTTGCCCAGAGTCCCCACCCTAGTGGAGTGGTCAGAATGGTCCCTGTGGCTGAGCACTGCAGGGTGCTTTTCCTGCAAGGTGGATGAGCTCCCAGCACTGCCTCTAACGCCACTGCCAGTGGGCCTCAGGTCCAGTCATCCAGGACCCAGGGAGCATCAGGAGGGAAGAAGGAGGAGATGGAGGTGTATGATGCAGGCAAGATCCAGAGAGAGTGCACTCCAGCAGCCCTGAGCTCTGCTGTCTGCTCCCTGACCAGCCTCACAGTCCAGATCCTCACTGCAGAAAGATGTGCAGGACTCACTGTGTACTTCTGGCTACTTCCAAGCCATTTGGAGTACTGAGTCGCCTTATGCCCACATCACCTTTTTACAAGGTCAGCATTGCCAAAAGACCCAGCAGACAGGGGAAGAACAGGCAGGAGACCAAAAGAACTCAGTGCCTGCTTCCAGGAATGAGTCAGGCAGGACTGCCCCGACGCTGGGATTCCCAAAGCCCAGTCAAGCAGCTTTTCAGGCCATCCTGTGGTTTGCCTTTGAAAAACACTCCTAAATCAAAGATCACAGCAACCCTTCAAGGCATTGGCTGCCCAATACCTACAGACAAAATTCACACTGCAGAATGCAATTACAAGGCTCTCTGTGGCCTGGATTCTGGCTCAGCTCCAACCTTGTGTCTCACCACCCCACCCTTATATCCTGGGTTCTAGCTTTATCCGGCTGTCTGGAGTTCCTCGTATAAACCACACTTTGTCAGGCCTGTGCATTGCTCTTGTTACTTCCCTTTGGCCCAAGTGCACTGTCTGCATACCCCATCTTGCCATTTACTTCTTCTCTCTCCTCCATCCTTTAATACCCTGTTGAGGTGTCACCTCCTCTGGGAAGAGTTCCCCACCTGAGTTAGACGCCCCCTCCTGACGTAGGTCCTCCCCTGCAGTGCCTCTTTTTTTTTTTTTTTTTTTGAGAGGTTTTCGCTATAGGGCGCGTGCGCTCGCCAGACAGACAGAGAGAGACATAGAGACAGAAAGCGAGAAATCACCCCCCAGGGGGGATGGTCACGCCGCAATCCCTTCTCCTCCATTCTCCTCTCGGGATCTTGGGCACGCACGCACACGTGCCCAGCGTGAGTTTTAAGCCACCGGGTCTAGGACGCGAACCGCGGTCGACTACGTGGGAGTCCAGCGACATAGCCATTACGCTAACTGCTGGTTCCCTGCAGTGCCTCTTTTTTGTATTTCTCATACTGTTTTGTAATTACCAGCCTTTGTGTATATCTGCTCAACTTGAGCCTTTGAGGGCTGAGGGCTGCGTTTTATTTATTCTTTATCCCCAGTGCCTATCACAAAGAAGCACTTGCTAACTGTGGTACTTAACAGAGTAATTTGAGTTGGGGATCAATCAGGCAGAGGTGGGTGACATGTTCTGCTGGAGTTCTCTCAATGGGAGCTTCCTGTTTCAGAAGCTTGCCCCATAGCTGGCCCCCAGCCACTGTGACAAACACATTCCATGTGTAGAGCCAGAACCTTCCTCTAAGGCCATCCCGTCAGTCCTAGCTCTGGCCTTTGGAGCTGTCCCAAATGATTTGGTTCTCTTCTGCCCGACAGCTCTTTAGTGTTGGATACAGGATCCCATGTGTGTTCATGCTGGAGGGATTGGAAAAAGCTGGCCCTGGAGTCTAGTGTTTAAAGGAGCCAGATCCCACATGGCTGACTCTGGTTCAAATTCCAGCCCAGCAACTTAAAAACCATGGGGTGTATGTGCCCAAATCCCAATGGGATGGAGAAGAAGAAAGTATGTTCCATTGGGGAATGCTTTCTCCCTCTCATCTCTTTCTCTGGCAAACACACGTGCTCTCTGGCAATTAAATAAATGAAAAGGGGCCTTCTAAGGGACAGAATGAGAAGTTTTTAAAAAGTAAAAATAACCCCAGCGGGATATTTTGTGTTTTATGTGGAATGTGGTCACATTTAAATTGAGAGGGGAGAGAGGCAAGAAAGAGATGAGAAAACCTGTCCCTATCTGGCATAGTGGGGATGGTTTGGAGGGTTTCCATCCAGGCTTTAGAAACTTGAGACCTGGGTTCTGGGATAGTGCAGAGAACCTCAAAGTTTTTCCATTTCATGGAAGAATTTTATAGATAAGGTACCATCGAAGCCTTTGCAAAGTATGTTGCTAATTCATGCTGGAAGTAAACGTATAAGACTCTGCTGAGTTACCAACACGAACACTGGAAGGAATGGCCTTGTGTTCAGTAATAACAGTGTATATTCCTTTATCCTCATGGTAGGGATGAGGAAATGGACTCAGAGGTTATCTGAGGTGGCTAAGGTCACACAGCTTAGATCTGAATTCACGTCTGATTGCTCCTCATCCAGTGTTCTTTCAGGTCGTCACGGAGATCCTCTGACCTCAGAGTGGATGTGCCACTGCATGGTCTTAGGACTTTACTTCTCATCTTTTATATGAGAATGCTGATTTCTACTCCATTCTTTTTTCCCCA